TGATTTTTCACAATTTCTTCTAATTTCATTTCCCTGTATTTGGGAGGATAAGTTTCCCAAATTTTGTCCCTAATAAATGCTCCAAAGCAAAAAAAAATGTTCTTCTCAGCAAAACAAACCATATGTGAGGTGAATAGAGAGCCTACATCTTGGGAGCAAATCTTTACTCCTCACACATCAGATAGAGCATTAATAACTAGGGTATATAAAGAACTCAAAAAGCTAAACACTAAAAAACAAATAAACCAATCAATAAATGGGCCAAGGACCAGAACAGACAGACACTTCTCAGAAGATCATGTACAATCAATCAACAAATACATGAAAGAATGTTGATCATTACTAGCAATTAGAAAAATGCAAATCAAAACCACTCTAAGATTTCATCTTATTCCAGTCAGAATAGCAGCTATTATGAAGACAAACAACAATAAGTATTGGCAAGAATGTGGGGGAAAAGATTTCTTAGAAAATTGGGAATGGAATCTCCATTTGACCCAGCTTTCCCTCTCCTTGGTCTATATCCAAAGGATTTAAGAATAGCATACTACATGGACACAGCCACACCAATGTTTATAGCAGCACAATTCACAATAGCTAAACTGTGGAACCAACCTAGATGCCCTTCAGTAGATGAATGGATAAAAAATGTGGCATATATACACAATGGGATATTACTCAGCAATAAAAGAGAATAAAATCTTGGAATTTGCAGGTAAATAGATGGAGTTAGAGAAGATAATGCTAAGTATAGTTAGACAATCCCATAAAACCAAATGCCAGCTATTTTCTTTGATATAAGGAGGCTGATTCATAGTGGAATAGGGAGCAGGAGCATGAGAGAAATAGACAAACTCTAGATAGGGAAGAGGGGTTGGAAGGGAAGGGAGGAGACATGGGGTAATTAATCATGGTAGAATGTGATGATCATTACTATCCAATACATGCATGAAGACATAAATTGGTGTGAATATACTATGTATACAACCAGAGATATGAAAAATTGTGCTCTATATATGTAACAAGAATTGTAATCATTCTGCTGTCATATATAAGTTAAAAATTTTACATAAAAATAAGAAGGCAGACATATCAGACCAAATTAGACAAAAATTTCAAGACAGCCATTATAAATATGCTTGAAGAACTAAAGGAAGCCCTTTTTAAAGAAGTAAAGGAATATTTGATGATAATATTTCATCAAAGAGAGATTATCAATAAAAAGATGAAAATTATATTCAAAATACAATATGGTGTTACATTTAAAACATGAATTAAAGAAAGGCTGAGAGAGCATTTAACCTTTTTTTGTGGAAAAACGTCAAGTTGTTTTAGTGTTTACAATATTAACTTTTGAGCAGTTTAGGCTCTTATGACCTTAAAAATATGTTAAAATTTTATCCCAGTGTAAAAGGTAACATAAAACTTTATAAATCTTATTGATAACAAGTCTAGTTATAGAACATTAAATGACATAAATAAATCCCCAATAAAATTTGTCATCCTTCTAAGTCTAAAATTATTAGACAACTTATTTTGGAAAACACCAGCTTGATACAATGTTACTATAAACCTTTTACCTTGGGGCTAGGATTATGGCTCAGTGGTAGTCTTCCTAGCACATGTGGGGCACTGGTTTTGATCTGCAGCACCACATAAAAAAAAACAAAACAATAAAAGTATATTAAAAAAAAACCCTTTACCTTAAAGACTTGTTTGTGGTGAGCCGCTTCTGCCGTTTCTGCAGATTATGGTCGCCATTACAAGATGGCGCTGGCTCCGCTGTGGTCTGTGACAAACAACTTCTTATCTGGGAAAGTTGGCACATGATTTTTCATCACCCTGTGAGAAAGTTCCACGCGGCAGCTTTGCATTGGGGCTTGGGATGCTTTATTAAGGCTGGGAGGGGCACCCGAGAGGAAGAAGAAGAAATATCAAGGGCCTGAATAAACTGCTGAAAGAAGATTCCTGAGTTGCGTCTTCCTTGCGGGCAAGGGGTCGCGACAAGTGGTGCGGAGACCCGGGAACCAGAACTTTCAGCAGTCAGGGGTGGTGCACCGGTTAGTCCCAGGTAAGTGGGATCCGCGATCAAAGCGGGGTTAGTCCCTAGTAAGTGGGATCCGCGACCAAAGCGGGACAGCTCCTCTGTAATGAAAGAGAGAGCCTTACATTTTATTGCAGCTGCACTGTGTACTTTCGCTCCTACTTTCGCTTTCTTTTTTTTGTGCTTCCTTTGTTGTTGTGTCATGGGTGCCGCATCTTCAAGTCCGCTTCTCCTGGCCCTAGATGGCCTGTTACGTTCCAAGGGACTGGAAGTGAAACATAGTACTTTACAGAGATTTTTACAGAAGATAGATATCGCTGCACCGTGGTTTGCATTTTCGGGCAGCCTTACTGTGCCTAGTTGGGATAAATTAGGCAAAGATCTTGACTTTGCTTCTGAGCAGGGCATATTAGAGGGTGGGGTGATACCCCTTTGGAAAATGGTCCGTGGTTGCCTTACAGATGGTAAATGCCAGGAAGCTGTGAGTGAGGGTCAAGCTATTCTTGAGCAATTGCATGAGGAAAAATCTGAAGGATCATGTAGTGAAGTGGCAGAGAGTATTAAAAGTAACAGTAGTGAGAAGGCAAAAGAGCCTGAAGATAAAAATAGGAGAAGGCTCTACCCAGACTTGACCGAATTAAAAACGCCTGAGAACACAAGCGACTCAGAGAGTTCTGAGGACCTTGATATATTGTTACAACAACTACATAAGATAAAAATGAAAAAGAAGAAAAAGGAGACACAGGGCACGCAGGCCTACTGTAAGAAGGGGAAGGGAGTTAACATTGGTCAACAAAACTCTGAGGAGGAGGAGGTAGAATATCTAGAAGAAGATATGGTGCCGATTGCCCCACCTCCGTATGTGGGGGGGAGCCAAGGTTCCGGGAGATCTTTTCATGCACAAGTTTGGAGGACAGTTAATACAGATATGGGACTTGCATACCCTGTATTTCAGGACAATAACAGGGGAAGATATCATGAGCCTTTAGACTTTAAGCTAATTAAAACCTTGGCAGAATCTGTCCGCACTTATGGCATAGATGCCGCTTTCACTCTCACTCAGGTGGAGGGACTTACTAGATTTTGCATGACTCCCTCAGATTGGGCTAGTCTAGTCCGCGCTTGTGTTTCCCCAGGGAAATATTAGGAGTCCAAAGTTGGCTGTTTAATGTTTCTGGCAGTACCCAAGACTCGGAGCGAGGTAGGAGGCTTAAAATTTCTGCAAATAATTCACAATTATCTAATGCTACATTACCCTCCGCAGCAGTCCGTCTCCAATCTCCGTTCCTGTTTCTTTTGGCTAATGTTACATTACAGGGGATGCTTAATTGCTCTAATATTACCTGTTATTTGTCTGAGTGTTGGAATGGCTCCTGGACTACGGCAGTGGTTATGAAAATTCCAACCTTTGTCCCGATTCCGGTTACTACAGATCCAGAGTCTTTTCCTATTGTTGAACTGATTAGAGCCCGTAGAGATTTTGGAATTACGGCAGCTATAGTGACAGCTGTGGCAGTGTCTGCTGCTGCAGCGGTTACGGCCGGAGTGGCCATGGCCAGTCAAGTACAAACTGCTGCCACCATTAATCAAGTTGTTCAACAAACTTCTACCATACTTGAGTCCCAAAATTCAATTAATCAACATATTTTGTCAGGGATTTTAGCTGCCAACCAAAGAATAGATTTACTCCAAGCTCAGGTAGAAGAATTGGCCGACTTGGTGCTTTTGGGTTGTGTTGACCAACGTGCACATTTATGTATAACCTCTGTCAGATTTAATGATTCCAGAAATGCCTCCCGCATCATCGGAGAGTATCTATCCGGAACCTGGTCCATGGAAGCAGAAAACTTGATCCAGTCTCAACTAACTCAGATTGCTGTTTTGAATAGTACCCGTGTCGAACCAGTGACTTTGGGTCAATTCACCGATTGGATATCTTCTGCTTTTTCCTTCTTCAAAGAGTGGGTGGGAGTAGGCATTTTTGGTGCAATGTGTTGCTTCAGTGTTGTGCTCTGTTTGTGGCTTCTCTGTCGCCTTAAGACTCGCCATGCACAAGAAAAGGCTATGATCATACAAGCTCTTGCAGCTTTAGAAAATGGCAACTCGCCTCAAGTCTGGCTTGCGCATCTTAAGCAGTAAACCTTTGTCATGGTCGTTACACCCCAAGTTATTATAACATTGCACTGGGATCGACATGACTTTCCTTGTTATTCTCTTAGTGTTGGAAAGCCCTTGCACTCTGCCGGTCTTACTGCCATTGCACGCAGATGGGTTTCCACACTAGTACTTTTCTATCGCCTTGAAGTTCGTGCCTTTCTTTCAGGGTGCTGTCAACTTGTTTGTCATTATAAATAGCCACAGTTCAGCCTCAGCTATCCCCCTTCGTCCACCATCGTCACGATACAGGATGCGAGGCAAGGCACTGCACTTGAGTGATCCTTGACGAGGACCTCAAGGAGAGCATGTCCTATTGCATGCGGGTTAGACGCGTCCACGCCCCGTCCCACGAAAAAAGGCGTCGGCTGATATGGCCTCAGATCTGGGGAAGGGCCCTCCTTGGGACTGAGCCATACTATGCAGCCACTTCTGCACAGTGGGATAGGACCTCTACTCTCGCCTGTATTGTTTTAATAAAACAGAAAAGGGGGAACTGTGGTGAGCCGCTTCTGCCGTTTCTGCAGATTATGGTCGCCATTACAAGATGGCGCTGGCTCCGCTGTGGTCTGTGACAAACAACTTCTTATCTGGGAAAGTTGGCACATGATTTTTCACCACCCTGTGAGAAAG